GAAAAAAGGCAATATAAAGACAGAAAAGTACAGGATGGAACCAGAAGTAACTGAAGACACAAGGAAGCCACTTAAAGATCATCAAAGGAGATGTGAAGCTTTGAAGTAATAATTACAGGTCATTATGCCCAGAGATATCTTCAAAGTACAGGAAGAATGGCTCTAGACCAGTTTTTGAAGTAAGCTTATGGGCCATAAATCTATGCCTTTGTCATATAAAGTTAGCTAGTTTACTGGTAAAGGGAGGTGCCTAAAACATCTGATCTATCCTGCAGCAGAATGACCTAAAACCCACATGAAAGCCAGGTAAATGCAAAGGCTTCAGGAGCCCAAGTCTTTGCACAGAGAGAAGGGCAGATCTGAAAGCAGGATATATTCTCAGAAAACCTTGTGTAATAGGCATTGCAATAATGAAAGGTTAAAAATCCCATTAATCGTGACATGTAGTGACCTAAAGCTCACAATGAATTTGGTACAGAAATGCCCAAGACCTGTCATTTTCAAAAAAGTGTTATGTGACAAAAATACATAAATATGATAAAAAAGTGATTGCATCCATTTCAATGGAAAATTTGAAGGTTTGAGATATGAAGGGTGACATAATGTTGCCTATGATATTAAAAATCCTCAGAGCTAGATCATTCAGCTTTTATGGATTAGTAGGTTAACACCTGAGGCAGGGGTATATAGAGTAGGTAGTAAGGAGATATTACAGGCTATAGACATTGCTAGATCTGTGTACTGACAGTTCAGAAGAAATCATTGTAAATTTATAATTTGAGGAAGAATTAAACTGAAAGAAAAACCTTAAGTTTTTGCAGAAGGATCAGAAGAGTTTTTTCTCAAACCAGTTATAACTGATAAAAGGTTCATGCTATTCTCATCAGTCAATAGACATTTAAGTGTATCCAGCTGAGGTGATATTGAGAATAGCTCTGTAAGGAATGTTGGAAGTAGAGATTACGTCTACTTACTTCATGCTTCCTCACTAGTTATGGTATCTAAGAAAAATGGGATGCTTAGGTTTTAAGCAGACTGCAGAAAATTTAACAATCCCATATATAAAACAGACTCATTTATCACTCAAGGCAGAACAGAATACATCTCTATGCAGGTTTTAAGACTCTTGACAAATTGGATTGAAAAAAGAATTTTCAGGAAATTAGCCTGCGTTTACCACTGGCGTGGGACAATGTGTTGAGTTTAACACAATTCTTTCTGTGTAAAAAAGAATTACATTTCAGAGATCAGTCAGCTGAGTGTACAGTACTTGTTCTTGCTACTCCTGACAGTTCATCCACAAAATGCAACCTACCGTTTTTTCCATAAAAAGAGATCTGGAACAAAATCTGCATTTTCTTGAGCTAATTAGTGTACTCATTGAAAAAAAACAACCAAACAATCCTTGTGTGATCGGCAGCTTGTAAATGCTGTTGTCAGCCATGCTATCGGAATTAGAAAAGCATGCTTGCGAAGATCAATACAGCCTGTAAACCATCAGTGTACATGGTATGATGTAGGAAGCGTAGCCTCATTCTGCTGCTCCCTGGGTAAAAGGAGAGCTCCCAGGCATGCTGGCAGATGATAAGCAGAAATGCCAGAACATTAATCCTTCAGAGCAAATCTTCTCATTGCTACACTTCAACTAACACATTGCTGTGAATGGGACCTGGAGATGGTAAGGACACACTTTCTTTATTAGATTTGATAAGTACTGGATTAGATTAAATTAATTACAGGGAATACCTTCTATATTCCCCATTGAACTTGTCTGTTAAATATGGAGTTTAACATGCTGTGTTACGTTCTTAAGATGTCCTCTAAGTATCTGTTTGAATGTTCCTGATGAAGACTTCATATGCTGGAGTAGGGAGGGGGAGGAGATGGAAGTTTGAACTGATTTCTTGAGATAACCCAGTAGTTACCATTACTAATGTGAGTTGTGGAGTAACTCTCTAGGAAGAAAGGCAGCTGGAATCAATAATTTTTGTACATATGTAAAAGGTAATGTCTGGGGCTAAATGTAGATCTCCCAAGAATATTATTGATGAAGGCTAGCTTATGCTACAGTTCATACAAGGCAGCAGCAGACATGTCGGTCTTCTTTCCTGCTTCTGCTCTTGCCTTCAAGAACTAATATCTGAAATGCATTGTGCATTTCTAATTAAATCTCACTACATAAAAAGGGAAGCAAACATTCCATATCTCCATATAGGAGATTTGGAAAATGCACTTTCATACACATGAAGTCTTCTCTTTCCAGCAGTAACTCTCTTTTCCACACACAGACTAAAGCAACTTCGTCTCTTGGAAAGGTCCTGAAACAACCAACTGAGAGTAGGAAGTGGGTAAATGTGCAACCTGTATTTGAAAATGGGCAGTACTGAATGTGCAGCCAAGGTGAACAATGCACACACCTCCTATTCCCACAGCAAATATTAAGTAACTCTTAGGTGACTTTCAGAATGCCATTTCCTTCACACATTTAAGCAGCTGAGTGACTCCAGTTACAGAACAGGTGAGAAGCCTCTGAGTAACGTGCAGAAAGCAGAGGGACAACAGGTGGCAAGAAGAGTCAGAGAAGGACAGGGAGGTGGATGGAAGGGAAATTAGGGTTGCTAGTATGATATTAATATTAGGATGCAAATGACTCAGAAAAAGAGGTTAGGTGGCATGTTCCTTAAGTGACCCTCCGTCTGTCACAAAATTTGAGAGGTATCATGATGCAGGCAGATTATCATAAACCCTGATGTGTGACTCTCAGACACTATAAAAGGAAAGTACAACTAAACTATGCTTTGCCTGAACTTTGTGTGAATATTTCCAATCCATCTTAAGCTGTGGAGACCGTTTCACTAAATCACTGCTTTACCAAGCATACAGGCGTAACCTTCACCTTCTGCATCCGTGTTTTCAACTCCCTGGTGCTCCCTCAGGGATCTTTCCAGCCAGCCTGTGCCTCCTGGAGCAGGGTGACCTCTAGAGGCCTCCAGGCAGAGCTGGCGTGCAATGAGCACGTCAGTGCTCTGTCCCGCATTCTGCCCTGCACGTTTGCAAACCTTGGACTTTGCCTATTAGTACCCCCAGTCTGAGGACTTTATGTATCTTGAATCATACATTCCCAGCAGTATTGTCATGTCTTCCAAAGCGCTACCCACATAAGCAGGAGAGGATACTTCAACAGACTTCTTCCTTTCTTTCATGAGAAAGACTGGATCTTTTTCAGCTCTTAGTTTCTTCTGGGGTTTGAATAAACTTGTAAGTAACGAAGAACTGATTTGATAAATTTGGTTTGTCAGAGTTCACTGAGTAGAAGTTTCTTTTTGCAGAATATGAACATTTTCAGTTTATGTCATCTTGTCAATGAAACAGTGCTTATTTACTTAGGAGGTACATCTCTGATGTCCAGATTCTTATAGCTCTGAGAATCTTTGCAATCCGTGAAGCTTCACTGGAGTACACCAGCTGCATCTATTTTAAACTTTCTCTCAGAGATGTTCCTTTATGGTAATTACAGACCAATGTTTTTTTCAAGGTCAGTGACCTTTGCATTACTTACCAGCTAGCAGGCAGTCTGACTACAGAGGGGTTTTATTACAAGCTGATTCTAATCTTCAAGATATGGCATCAAAATATAAATATATGAGAAATTAAATATACTTTAATTTATATGAATGAATGAGATATATTTCGCCAATATAAATAAGGAACATTTCCAGATTCACTAGAACTAAACAAGTATTTAAGACATAATGTTTATTATTTGACTTTTCTGGATATATACAGCCTGGAGGCATATGGAAGTTGAGTTGTTGGTATTAAACACCATCACCACCATAAATGTTCAGCACTTTAATCACTAATGTAGTTTAATATTTTACTTTTTTGAAAAATAATAAGAAAACTTCTATTTTAATCATGAAGTACTCATCTTCTATTCAAAGAAATAATCAGATCAAACTTGTAAAGTCTTTGTAAAATTTTGTTGCAAAATAATAGCATGGCTCTGTATATGAATGCTATGAGCCCTGCTTATTGGGTTCTACCAAGATAATTTTTCTGGTCACTGAATAAATGGAAAGCAGACAGAGAACAAATAGTTTTGTAATAAAACCAATAAAAAATGTTCTAGTTCAGTTACTGAAAAAATAATTTTGGACTGACATAGGCATATATTTTTCCCTCAAATTATACTGACTGTATACAGATTTTTCTTTATGTCTTCAGAAATCCCAGCATAGAAAATGTTGGCCAGAAAAGTTTTGTCAACAAAAGAAAACTCAACTGCCGGTATTTTTCTTCATATACATTTTCCTTTGCACAAGATGCTTAGTGACCTTAAATGTTGTTTAAAAAAACAAAGACATGATCTTCCTTATGACATGCCATTTGCTCAAATTGCCATTTACTAGTAAACCAAATGAAACATCTAGTTATAATAATGTAATATCTATAGTTATAGATGCTTGTATACTCATAATTGTAACTATTTTATACATTTCAAGGTAGCCTCAAGCCTATCAATTCTCACAATAAAAAGGCAGCAGTCTCATTACTTTTTCCCACCTCTCACTCCTATTCCTTTCTCTTTGGTGTCACCCTTACCTGTAGCAGTCTTCCAAGCCTAATATCTATCAGATTTTTGTATTTTTCTTCCCCAAAGCTAACATCAATTTGCTTCTTATTCCCAAATGCCCTGTCCCTTTTTCATATCCTTTCCTTTCATATATAACCACACCTTTCAATCCCGTATTCAAGGGATTTGAGCCATTGTTAATTCTCTCCTTATCTCAGACCTCACATGTGCATGTCCCATTCCACACAACTGTTATGGTTGTTTCTGCCCTGACTTGTTTGTTACTGTGTTTTTATATTTCCATCATGAGCCAGATGGAGCCAATTCTCGCTCTTTATGCTCATGTACCCTAATTCATCAGGACCTTACATCTATCTGAAGATGCCCACGGTAAAATTTTGATTGTGCAGATATTATGCCAGACACTCTGCCACTGGAGACCCAGGTCTCTGGCAGGTTCATGCTGGGATGGCCCGTTACCATTTCAGTAGCTGTATCATGAAGGAACCGTCACATTCTGGCCCCAGACTCCTCCTTGGAGAGGGGATCCGTAGAACCAAGGGCATGAAGCACAGCTCACCTAAATAAGGCAAGTAGATGTTCTTGGCCTTCCAAAGCCCTCTCCTCCTCCAGTCGCGGCTAGCTCATTGCCACATGCCAGGGCAGAAGCAGAACAAAGACTTCACCCCTGTCAGCAAGGGGAAGGAGAGGGTTTCAGGGCACTGCAGTCAGAAGGCACTTCTGTGCCTGCAGCCTTGGCTGCACAGAGACTCCCAGACTGGATCATCCCCTCTGGGACAGGGACAGTGTCCTTGGGGGTAGGTGTCAACCAGCCCCTGCCTCCGCTGGGGTCCGCACATGCTGGCATGGTGTAATCAGCATTAATTGCACAGGGAGTCTTTCAGCATGTCTTCATTAATGCTTAGTGTTCAACAGGAAAATGCTGTTGAAGCAGCTCTCCTTGTGGTCCCACACTTTGGTTTGCATGACAGGTCTGTTCCCGGGGCACATCTAACGTGTTCCTACCTCAGACAGGCACTCAGCTCTTGGCACTCCCACCCTTTCCCCCTGAAACCCATTTAGTCCAGCTGCCAGGTCCTCAGCACTTGCTGTTCTGCCCCACTGATCTTCTCACCTTGTGCTGCTCTACTCGCTAAGGGAGACAGAGACGGTGTTTCAAGTGTGCGTCAGTGCCTGAACCTTCCTCTCACAGCAGCCCTGTCTGCCAGGGAACTGGTCCTGCTGACATGTTCCAGAGGGAAAGGGGGTTGCTCTCACCCTAACCCCAGGCTTCCTCTGCAAGAGGAAGACTCAGGACAGGAGAGATAGGCGAGGGAGATGAGGGGCAGGATTTCTTCTTCCCTCTGTAGTCCTGCTCTGCTTCTGTGTGTGAACAGTGGAGGTGGGCTTTGCTTGAGTTTGCAGTGACATTTTCACATCCACTTCAAGGGGGAAGAATATTGTGCTTACTTGTGTGTCTTGAGGTAGCATGAAGGTAGATTATGGGAATGACTCGTCTACACTTCAGGCTGCGAGGGTCTTTCTGTGTCACCCTTGTTGGCCTCGGTGTCTAGGAGGTCCTCAGCTGTGGAGGCTGGATCTCAAGGTCATCCTAATACGAATGAGGGTGATCCAGCACCCTGGGCCTCTCCTGGGACCTGCACTATGAAGGTCCAGCCAGAGCACAGCTCTCCTTAGCCTGCTGCTGTCAGGTCAGGGTCTTTTCTTTCAGCCCTGGTGACCCTGAGCATCCCAGGCCTCCTCTGGCCCGTTCCACCCGTCTGAGCTCTGTCCCAGTGGCGAACACAGCAGACTGGCTGACCCCCCTCCTTGGCGATTCACCTTTCTGCTGCGGTTCAGTGACAAGCCTGGCCAAGCTCCCCGGATGGACAGGAACCCGCTGGAGCCCCAAGCCGAGAGGAAAGCTGATGGGGCTGTGCCCTCACAGCAACAGCCGACACGACACGGCAACAGGCACAGCCGCCGTCCCAAGTGATGTCTCTGGGCCCTTCACCAGCACCCACCCTGGGGCCTCACTACGGCTGGCTGCACTTCCCTCCCATGTCGTGCTGCCTGGGGCACCCACGGTCTCCTCAGGGCCTCTCGGTCTGGGTGTGAGCAGGCAGACAGTTCCCTTGCAATCCCTGCCACCGCTCAGCCCATGGGCTTGGCCTGCGTTCCCCAGGCCTCCGGCCTGGAGCTGCCCTCTCTGATGGCTCTTGCTTCATTTGTAACATTTCAGCTGGGAAGAAGGAGGTAAGTCGTGGGAATCTCACTGGGATGAGAATATTGTGACATGACACAGTAGCTTGGCATCACAGTTTAAGACACAGAAGACTGTCTACCTCCAGCCCAGGTTTCTAAGGGAAGAGGATAGCTAAGGCAAGCATGACCTGTCTAAGCAGGTTGTTTACAACCTATCTCTCCAAAAGACTCTTCACAAGTACTGAGCAGAGAGCCAAGCAAGCACCTCCTGGTGGTACAGCCTCTGCTCGCTCTCACCTGGCAGCTATGTGGGAGGATGTGCTTCATACCTCAGAATGGATTAAATTTTTCCACTAGGCACATGCAAAAATACTATTGATGATGGCTTAGTGAAAAATTTTTAAGGCCTGATTTAAGCATGCGACTAAAAGGGGCACACCAGATTTCTTCTAGCCTCCATTCATAGGCTGGAGATGTGCTGCTGAGGTAGAACCTCCATATATACATCCCAACATCTTAGGTCCACCTGCAAGGTTCAAATCTGTATGGCCAGTTCCTGAGATTAGAAAGGATCTGCTAAGTCATTTGACACATTTCTAATAAATAGTGCATCTTCTTGCAGAATTGCAGTTTGCCCTTTCCTTCTATACAAGGTTATCTTAAAAAGTCTCCCCAAAAAAATAAAACTGCGTTTGACAGAGGCCCAGACCACTCTGTCCTGTACTCCTTTCTAGTAGGGAAGGTCCTTCATACTCAACTGGTGCTGATACATGCTAAAGATTTCACAGTAACTTGTGCTTTGTCTGTTGAGTGTGGTTTTAAAGTCTCTAAAATCTATTTTACATGGAAATTCACACATACTGATTAGCAGGAAAGTGGAAGGAGATATTTCCTTGCTATGGGCAGTTTGATACATACCACACATGTGGATCTAAGTTCCCATTGTAAGTCTAATAACAAAAATTATCTCATTGATATAGAAATGCCTCATAAATGAAACAGTTAAAATTGTTATATGAGATACTTTCTTGTAACAGCCTGCTTTGTGTGGTATTTTACTTACCCTTCCAATGTTACTTTCTGTCCTAAGGTTGACTCTTCAGTCTTTCTTGAGAATGGTGATGCAGCAAGGAGGGAGCCTACTATGAGTTTTCAGCATCCTGAAGTCTTTGTCAGGAGGCGTATGGTATAGCATAGATTTCTTCCTACTTGGTCTGGGTTTGTTTGGGTTTATTTTTATCTCTTTCCTTTTCACAATCTGCTTCCCTTTCACTGGTTTCCAAATGAAGTTTAAAAGGTGCAGGGTAGCTTCCCATGCCTCAGTTATCACAAAATGTAATTCTTTATGCAGTGACCTACAAGGTTTGTCAGACATTTGCCATATATGGTATTCACAAATTTAACCTAAAACAGGTTAGGTAATAGTTGTTTGACTACTATACAGTTATTAAAACAAGCTAAAACCACTTCAGACCCAGAAGAGCCCTAAGACCATGCACTGTCAGGTCAATAAAAACCCTGGAGCCTTTTGATATTAATGGAAAAAAAATCGTATTTACTGCTGTACAGTAATGGAGATTTTAAGGAAATGAAACATCTTACTGTAGACAGAGAATGATCAGGTATTCTGAAGTAGGAGTGAAACCACCTGCCGTGGACCACAATTGCGGAGCAGAAAATGGAGTGAAAGAAATCTGAAGTTTACTAGGAAACCATAGTAAGCCTTCTAACATGTCATGTTGCATTGGTTTTGGCTGGGACAGAGTTAGTTTTTTTCACAGTAGCTAGTAAGGAGCTATGTTTTGGATGTGTGATGAAAAAAATATTGGTAATACAGGGATGTTTTAGTTGTTGCTGACCAGTACTTAAACAGAGTCAAGGCCTTTTCTGCTTCTCACCCCACCCCACCAGCAAGAAGGCTGGGGGTGCATGGGAAGTTGGGAGGAGACAGAGATGGTCCTTGAACACTTCTAGGGAGGGGGCATCCACAACTGCTCTGGGTAACCTCTTCCAGTGCCTCACAACCCTCATAGAAAAGAATTTCTTCCTTTAGTCTAAACCTAACCTCATTCAGCTTGAAGCCATCACCGCTTGTCCTATCCCTACAGGCCTGGTAAAAAGTTCCTCTCCGGCTTTCTTCTAGGCCCCTTCAGGTACTGGAAGGCTGCTTTAAGGTATCCCCAGAGCCTTCTCTTCTACAGGCTGCACAGCCCCAACTGTCTCAGCCTTTCCTCACAGCAGAGGTGTTCCAGTCCTCTGATCATTTTTGTGGCCCTCCTCTGGACCAGCTCCAACAGGTCCATGTCCTTCCTGTGCTGAGAGCTCCAGAGCTGCACACAGGACTCCAGGGTGGGTCTCACCAGAGCAGAGCAGAGTAGAAGGGCATAATCACCTCCGTCACCCTGCTGCCTGCACTGCTGGGGATGCAGCCCAGGAGACGGCTGGCCTTCTGGGCTGCAAGCACACACTGCCGGGTCATGTTGAGTTTGTCATTGACCAGCACCCCCAAGTCCTTCTCCTCAGAGCTGCTCTCAATCCACCCTCCGCCTAGCCTGTATTTGTGCTTGGGATTGCCCCAACCCATGTGCAGGACCTTGCATTTGGCCTTCTTAAACTTCATGAGATTTTCACAGGCCCACCTCTCAAGCCTGTCCAGGTCCCTCTGGACGACCTCTCTTCCCTCCAGTGTGTTGACCACGCCATGCAGCCTGGTGTCATCGGCAAACTTGCTGAGGGTGCACTCAATCCCACTGTCCATGCTGCTGACAAAGATGTTAAACAGCACGGATCCCAGAACTGACCCCTGAGGAACACCACTCCTCACTGGTGTCTACTTGGACATCAAGCCATGGACCGCAATTCTTTGAGTGCAACCATCCAGCCAATTCCTTATCTACTGGGTGGTCCATCCATCAAACCCCTGTCTCTCCAGTTTAGAGACAAGGATGTCATGTGGGACAGTGTCAAATGCTTTGCTCAAGTCCAGGTAAATAATGTCAGTTGCTCTTCCTTTATCCACCAATGCCATATTCCATGCCACACGACATCAGGATCAGACTATAAAGCAGGGGGAGGAAGAATGAAGGAGCAAATGTTTAGATGATGACTTTTGTCTTCCCAAGTAACTGTTATGCAAGATGGAGCCCTGCTTTCCTGTAGATGGCTGAACACCTGCCTGCCTATGGGAAGTAGTGAATGAATTCCTTGTTTTTCTTTGCTTGCACACATGCCTTTTGCTTTAGCTGTTAAACTGTTCTCATCTCAACCCTCAAGTTTTCTCACTTGTACCCTTCCAGTTGCCGCCCCCATCTTATCGTGGGGGAGTGAGTGAGCACCTGTCTGGTGCTTAGTTGCCAGCTAGGGTTAAAACATGACACATTGGAAGGAAGAGCTAGGCTGGCATCACTGATAGGTGTTGGATAGATTTATTAAGCTCTTTGTGGATGAAAACTGGTCAGCTCCTTAAAAGCTCACTCTTGTCACTCTTTCAGATAGCAATGACAGAGACGTATGGGGTTTCCGTTTTCTCATCCTCACTACTGACAGGAGAACAACCTCAAAATCACTGCTGTGTTGGTGAGTTTTCATCTTGGAGACAGATAATTAAAGACTCATTTTGGTAATTCTGTCTTAGCCATACTGACACTGAGCTGTCAGCTCCATGTTTCCAGCACTGTGAGCAAAGCTCACTGGAAGCTCACTATGCTCCATGTCTGACCACAGTCATAACTAGAGCTTAAATTTTTTTTGAATTTGCCTTTTAGGCAAGACCTAAACCAAGCATTAGGCATCCAAATAGCAAGATGTAGAGAGAATACACTGTAAGCTCATAAAAGCAAACCAGAAGCCTCTGTATCCCTCCCAAAACATATGTTGAACCCTCTGCCCCCGACTGGCAGCCTCATTTTCCACCCCCAAACAAACTGGAGCAGAGGATGTCCTTCCATCTCCCGAATGTATTTGTGCTTTCCCAGCAATAGATAAGCTTGTAAGAAAAGAGAAACCAAGCACGCTGTTACTCTCAAGTGCTCTCTGAAACTCTGTCTTCCTGTACAGCTCTGAGCTTTTGCACCATGGAGAGGGTTTCTGTGTAGCTGGTAAATTCTGGTAGATTTCTTCTCCATGAACATGTCCAAATCTCTTTTCAAACTGTATAATTCTTTAGTTTTCAGTGACAAGGAGTTCCACAGCTTACCTGCATACTTTGTGAAGAACCTACAGGTCACTGTGTTTTTGAACAACTTGCCTGCAGGTAGTTTCGTTTACACACACACACACACACGCACACACACACACACGCACGCACGCACACACACACACACACACACACACACACACACACACACACACCCCCCCACACACACACTGTCCTCAACCTTCTGCCCTCTGCACTCTCCTGTTTCTTTTAATGTCAGAGCCAGTTAGAACACCGATCCCTGTCAAGTCTCTCCACACTGTGCTGATTTTATATTTCTGCTTTGTATGCCCACTCAGTTCTCTCCTATCTTATATCTCTGGGTTTGTTTAATTGGTCATCCTATGGAAGCACCTCCATGTGTCTCATCATCTTTATTCCCTGTGGAATCATAATTGTTTGCAAAGTCAGTTTGTCTCTTTTTATTTTCTGTTTTGCTACCAGTGCTGAGAAATGAGTAGATATTTTCACATAGTTATGCAGCACATGTGGAAGACCTTGCTCCTGATGGGTAATTGTCAGCTCAGAGTCTATTTTTTTATATGTTACACTGCATTATGTTTCCCCATGCGTACAGTTTTGTGTACTGAATTTGTATGGTACTTAATGGCACTGTCTACACAGTGCCATGAAAGCCTTCTGCACTTCTTACGTATCAGTCATTTTCCTTACTGCCTGGAATAGTGATACTTCATTGGGACACACTGTGCTCCTTCCTCTTCAACACCTCTTCACCTTGTTTTATCATTAGCTTCAACAACACAGGCCCCAGCACAAGTAACTTCTCATTCTGTGTCTTTGAGGATTATTTATCTGTGTGAGAAGCTTCTTTTTAACACTTACTAAGTAGTTAGGGATAAGTAGTTAGGAACTGATGACAGAAAGCTGTATATGAGATAGGTATATGAAAGGTATAAGAAAAAACTATGCCCAAAGGCTAATGACTCTACAGCCCTAACCAGTAAAAAGAGAAACAAATGATAACGTGGGCTCATGGTGCGCATTCAAATGAAACTACTCTTTATTCACTACGTGATGAGGTGGTGGCAAATATAAAATAAAGACAAAAGCAACCGAGAGGTTCACATTTTGCGCAACTCTCAGGTCACTTTGCTGCCTCATGACATCCTCACTCTTCTTCTTCTATCTTCTTGCTGTGAAACTCTCGGCTCTTCACTCGAAGCTTGTTGACCTGCGACTCCGCAATGTCAGCCCGCTCCTCGGCTTCCTCCAGCTCGTGCTGGATCTTGCGGAACTTGGAGAGGTTGACATTGGACAGCTCCTCCTGTGCGGGGAGAGGGAGTCGGTGGTGAGGAGCCCAGGGCAGGCGTTGTGCTCCTCCTACACCACAGCCTTGTGGGGCTGTGGTTGTTCCCTGAGGGTAGGCCTCAACCTCCATCCCCCACCCACCACTGTGTACACATAAGCCTCACGCAGACCTCCTCATCGTCCCTTATTGAGGAGCCCGCTGTGACAAGCTTCACCAGTTAGTGTCACTCTTGAGGAACTATTTCATCACTTGCTCTTGTCGTTTGTGT